CACAACAAAGATGCAGAACTGAGCGAGGATGCATACGACGAAAAAACAAAGGCATCATATCTATATTTACGTGAAAATGGCACGTTTCAGGATGGTGTGATGCCATTATTACCGCCCAAACTAGAATGGTGTTCGTGGGATTTTTGATAAATCTAAGGGTTGTTTAACCCCATTTGGGTCTATGATCTTAAAATAAACCCAAAAATGTAGTATCTGTGGCTTTTATATTGTAGACTCCAATTCACGGCGCTTTTCCTTGTTGTGGCGCGACCTGGTTGTTGGGAGATACCTAGTGCTCCGGTAAAAACATGGAGCACGAGATAAAGAGTGATACAACGCCACTTGAATGGTACATATTCATGAAATTTAAAACATATATAGTTGAAATATCCTCAAGATCTCTCGTACAGAACTGTATATTTCATTCGGCAGTATGGATGCACTCTGCGGAAGGTCTCACGAAATGGCTCTTCTTCGCTGTGCGCTGCATTCTGTATCCCGAGGTCCTACGCATTCGTTGCTTTCTCTCTAAATGTTAAGCCACCACCCCAAGAATGTTCACTGTTAGAACCTCCCATAGTGATTTTACCTTCCTTAACACCACTCTCAAAGGCACAGCTGCCCATATCCTGTGCCTTGGCAGGTCCACTAGGAGAAATATCAAAATCGAATATGTCCATGGGCAACCCCAGAGTTGTGCAAGCTATAGCTGTTAGAGTTTATCTCATACCAGAAAAGTTAACGGGGTAAAAGTTAATTACCGTTTGGGATGTCTACAATACCAGCAACATGCCCCTGTATAGGGGCACATGAAAGGAGGAGATATATTTGGTAGTCAGAGTATCCAAATCGTCTGAGATATTCTATGCAACCTACAAAAGAAGGTGATTAGAATGGGTAATGAATATACCTATATGAAGACATACGTAGGGTCGTCTGGCGATAAGCAACTGTGACATCCATATAATGTTGTTTACCATGCTGATCAACCGAAAACCCCTCAAATGTTATATATCTGTTTGGAGAGAAGTGTGGTTCCACCGGTCCAGGAATATATATCGGAGATCTGAGGCCAAGATTCTGTATGCCGTGCTTAACAACCTGTAGTTGCGTTAGAAATTGTACAACCGCCTTGCGGAGGTCAACTTGATTAGCCACTCACCTTGAAGTTTATGGTAATGACCCCGGCCATTTCGATGGCCCCACAAAAAGATATTTCCCCATCTCCCTCTGGTGTCCGTCAGCAATAGGCGCCAAATAGTCCATGAAAGGAGATAGCATCCTACGTGAAAAGTGCAGATCGCCAACACTGAACTTCGCCCCTTTAACGTGGACTGGCAGGTATACCTTTGAGCCCCTGCTAAGATTCTTAATATCGCAGTTTCCACCATGCTCAGGTCGACCTAGCCATAATTAGACTGAGGGTTTTGACAACTAATTGAAGAGCTATTCAAGCAGGTGACTCAAATATACCTGGGATGGTTCTCGCTCCTTCGTGACCAATTTTGGTAGCTGCGTCGTCGATAGCGCTGCCAGTATGGGCATTTATGGGGTTAGGAGGTTCAGCCTACATTTTTAAGGAAGTTTAGATTCCACTGTAAGTGACTAGTCATTATCATTCACGTACGACAGTCCTAGCTAATTTATTCGCCGCAATAAGCTCGCCCTCACGTTTGTTCCAGGAGGCTAAGATCTGGTTTGAAAATGTTAGGTTTTCAGGCTTGTAACACTTCGATATCGGATACTCACCTCAGCTGAAGGAGCACAACCAAGTATCCCAGGATGGATCAGACCAGCAAACTTAACGTGTGGAATGTGACGAGAGGTGCAGTAAATCCCTTCGAAATCCCAAATTGCTTTCGCACTGGCTCAGACAGTTAATTAACTAATGTAAATATAGTAGTCCTGTCGAAGCAAGAGCATGAAGAGGATAATCAAAACGACCGAACTTACGCGGACGGATAAAACTCATCGAGAAAACCACCGCCATTGTTCTTATCAAACACGCCTAGATAGATTCAATTGGTGATCAGAAGAGTCACTAATAGAAAAGTGTATAGGTAAAGAGTCTGTCTTGAAGTAACTTTCCCTATACATCGGTGGTAAACATACCTGTGAAACCCCATGGGCTGTCTTGGAATGGCTGCACGTCCATAATCTCCACGAGCAGAACCTAGATGGGGGTCAGCACATCAAAACGACCACAGATGTGGATGCTTCGGGCCATGCCAGACATCTCCTGGTTCCGCTTCTTCAATCTCAAAAGGCCCAGAAAGGTAGTGAATCTTCGTGAGATCAACATTTTTCACATCATCTGCTGAGTCATTATTTCCTAGTGGACATTCTGAGAAAGCAATCCCCAACGCAGCTGATCAGGCTCACCAATTTGTCCGCCAGTCCAGTCCAGCTAGGAGAAAGTGTCAGATGCCGTTCACAATACCTTTGGATTTGCGAGATGTTGCATAGGACCTACGCATTCAATCTTTACGGTCTCCCCATTCTTGATGCTGCCAGCAGGGGGGATATCCGGATGCCAGCGGTTATGCAGGCATTTCTGCTCCGCAGCTGGGATGTCCAAGGACACTTTACAAACGGTGCGTATCTCAGTCAAGCCCATGTTTCGTCAAGGACCAGCAGCTAGGTGGAGGAATATATGGTTGTATATTAAAATCGAAAAAGAACCGAGAGAAGTAAAAAATACAAGGAAAGGGGAAAGAAGAGAAGAGAGAGAGAGAGAGAGTAGAGAGTAGAGAGTACATTTGAGTTAATATCCCCAGAGACACACTTAGGCTATCAAACCCGCACCTAAGCTAAATCCCTCCCTATCTCGCAGCCACATTGTTTGGCAGCGGCCAAGGGCCACGGAGTTGGGAAATCAGTGAGGGGTTGCTGCGATAAGAGCTTATCAACACGACCCCTCAAAAGGACCTCCTCCACACAACGCGCGCAATAGACGGGGAATCATATCACCTATCGGGCAGCTGAATGCGGGCGCGAATAACATTAACTCTTACAATAAAAGCCAAGCCCGTCGCAGCCGCTCTTTATTTACATTATTCAACACAAAAACTCGGTATGTTGCAGATGCCTTTTCCAATTTCGCAAACTGCCGTATCTGCCATCGCTTAACCCAGAGCTCAGTGACGTCAGTCCCACCCAATAGTATTGATCAACTATAGGCATTCGCCACGTGTCGGTAGTCTTCCAGAATTGGTATATCACACGAGCAGACGACTTCCTCGTGCGATAATCGTGGATCTAGGAAGCTATCTGACTTATCTGGATCTGACTTCGCTATGTGGAGACTTAGTTTGGTCTCCTGATGAGGCGCTTTTCTTTTCCTCCGGACTCACTGGCTTCGCCGGGTGCTCCGTCGGTAAATTGTAGGCATCCAAGTTTGAGAGATGCAGGTTCAGGAATTCGTGTTTATTCTTCCACTTCTGTTGACTCGCTGCGAATCCTTCGCTCGAAGCTGGTGGAGGCGGTGGATCTGTAATCTTTGTGATGAGATACGCAGTTGACGCTTCCGCTATTCCGTATATAAGCACGCCTAGAAGCGGTATTCGCAAAAAGATATAAAACCCAATGCCGAACCCAAACAAGAGGCCTTCCCGATCATGGAAGAATCGCCTTTTCTCTTCTTTGGTGAAGCGGATGCGTGAGAAATATGGTTCCAGCTAAATGTAGCTCATGTCAGAATGTACCGCGGTTTAAATAGTTAAAGACATACCAGTTCCCTCGTAAGACTTCTTGAAGCAAAGTAACTCTGCAGGAAGACCACCAGATATCTCCGGGGGAGGAACATGCCGGTTCCAAAAATTAATGCGGCTGGGCCCAGGCCAACCGTCTTATTGAAGGTATAGAAGCTCGCCGCAGGAAGCACAAGCCGTCCCAAATATGGCACATATGAAAGGGCAAAAACAGCAAGCGATAGTCCTGCCTTTTTGCCAAATCTTATCAAGAAGGTTGTGATTGCTTCGGCGGCGCTCTTACTGTGTGTGCTTCCATCACGTATTGGATATAACTTAAGATTGGGATAATACTCCAGTCTGAGGCTGGAAGGGTCTTCGCCGCGGTGCTTGGCGTAATAGGTCGTGTCGACCCATTTTAAGGAATCCATAAACCTAGATGCATTAGTTATTCTGTCCATAGATAGTCTCTCCAAGGATCATACATATTATCAAGTGTGGGGGTTACGTATCTCATTAAACTCATCAAGAAAAATGGAACCTGGAGTACATAATTTTCAACGAAATCCAGACCTCCAACCAACCTATCGTCCCAGGTTGTGGTCCCCAGATCAATGACAAAGGATAAAAGCCATAGTAAGACCTTGATACCAATAATCTAAAAATGTGTTAGCACCTCATTAAGAGGGCTATTTCGGAAAGGGATAACTGCACGGGGATTGCAATTATGAGTCTAATTGCGATGCCTGCGGCAACAGCTACAATGGCTTGTTTATAGTGTTCCGAGGTGAAGAGTGCAGGGTTCTGCAGCGCTCTGAGAGCTACGTAGAGCGTCAATGACAAAGATTTATGATAATCGGTCATGTCCACTCACCTCCGACCACTGTCAACTGGGCTCCACGAAGGATGGCATTGAGATCGAAGTTGGAGATATCAAGTGTCTCTCTCAACTTCTCCCCTTGCGATGAGGCATGTTGCTGAGATGCACACATCTTAACCAGACAACCAGTGCCGTATCCAAGAAAAGTAGTAGGAGACCCGATAGGTACTTGAGCCTATGTGTTTGAGTGTGTTCTCTGGAGTATCATTTATCAGTGCACCTCCCGAGTCGGTCTTCAGCATCCCAAGTGGGAGGAACAAAAACACCTCACGGTCAGGTCAAAAAGTCCGCATCGGTAAGCACTTCGTAGACAAGAGCGGACAATATCAAACTGGTATCAATAATATACTAGTCTCATAGAGGCGCTCAGATTTAGTATGTATTGCAATCCTGCTAGGCAAACAGGGCAAACATACCCAAGCAGGACGATTGGTGATGTGGTGTAATGGTAGCACGTGACGTTGTGGTTGATTCTGCAATAGAAACCGTTTCAATCTGGGTTCGATTCCCAGCATCGCCAGATTTAATCAGAGTGATGTGTGTATTACACGATTTGCTCACAGGCCATGTACTTTTTTTGGTCAATTTACCTTTTTGACAACTTAGTGTTTGGCTATGTGTGTGTATATACATACGTCAGGGACTTAATGATATTTTTTCATCATATCATTCATGATTCATTCATTTATTCTGGTATTGTTGGATATTTCCAAAGGCACCACTCGAAGTCCAAAAGCCTGTAGGTATCGGAACGGCATGGAGCACGTACAGTACAGTACAGCAGTGTCCAGAATTCCAGGGTCACCAGAAGTAGGGTGTGCGGTCGATACAGGGACGGTGTGTACGGGTAAATGCTGTATCTTGGCGCGCTCTGCACGGAACAGGACGGGGTGTTTGCGTACCTTGCGTACTTTTTGTGACGCACTCATGTACCTTGCGAGCACCATCCAATCCGCGGCGGTCCGCAGCTATGCTTGCCATGAGTGCTTGCAGCCACCCCTTGCAGCAACAGACCGCGCGCTAAGCTCAACCCTGTTGAACCGAGCCCCTTCTGCTCAGCAGCTCAGCAGCTCAGCCTCACCATTCTTCATTCATCAACCCATCTACAGTAATACTCATTTTACAAGCTTTGGGGGGACTTTGCAATGTGTCTCGAGAGCCCGGCTCTCTACTCTCAGCACCCCGCGAAGCTGTGGATCCAGTGAGATTTAACAACACCTGAAATTGTGACCCTGGTTTACATCAGCTCCCGGTTTCTATTGTACCGATCTTGCGTATGACATCAAAAGAGCTCTAAGAGGAGCCTCCTCTTGCAGACTACTTCTAGAACGCCTCCCTTGGGTGTAGAGCGCCATGGTTGCCTTTTGATAAGATATTTTGTTTTGGGTCGATAACAAAACGCGATCATGGCCTCCATCTCGCCATCTCACACCCCGCGACAGCCAGTGAGCCGGTCCATGACGCGACCCGAGTCACTTTCTGATCAACAGGTAGAGATCCTCTGCATACTACCTGCCGCTCGCATCATCTCCTTTACAACAAGCTCCCCAGCTTCGGGATCGAGTTCCGTTAAAGATAGCCCCGAGCGAGAACCTGAACCGGGAAGCCTGTCTTGGACGTCCCGTTTCGAAAGAACAATTGCTGTTGGTGCGGATCCCTCTACTTAGCACTCGCAGTAGAGACTAATAGATAACCTAGGGCCCCTACGCATATATAAGGCGCCAGGCTCGGTGGCCTTCTTGAGTTGTAACTCAGCTTTGCGTCCGATCCTACCGAAATCTCAATGTTGGTGTGTCAATGAGAGTTCATCTAGATTTATTTTACAGATAAGACGACCCCAGTATTGGAGGATTGAAATCCCGGACCAAGGTGCAGATGACTGCATCAGATCAGAACAACTGAAGGTGGTCCTGCAGCGTATCCTTCTCTTCGAGAAAACTCCTTGCCCATTTCGAAGGACCTTTACGATTGAGTTACCAGCTCCACCAGAAACACCCGTAAGGAAGAGGCCCTGGCGTCCTGTTGCACGCGTCGTTTCCGAGCCTGCAGTCGAGCAGCAAACTGAGAGAGTAGCAAACGATAATTCACCTACCCCGGGGCGTAAGCAGGTCCTTGATTGCGCGGAAAATACATCCATCTCCCATCTTCTACCCCCGATTTCTCAACTTGCAGCATCTCGGTCAGATACAGATAGTCAGGACTGTAGATCGAACAGTATTTCGGTTAACGTGCCGCCAGCTATTGGTACGATTTACAGTTCCCCCACAGCTCAGGCAGAGGAAGATAGAGTGTCAATCGGTGAAAGAGGTGATACTACTAGCGCAATTGACCTCACCCCGAGAAATCGTATCCAGCGGTTACCACAAAATGTCTTGTTTGCTGGGGACTTGAGCAATAATACCCAATACGAGCAAGACGACTGCCCACCGATCGCAACAGTCCCCATCCTTTCCCTTATTACGAGTTCTCCCGTCAGGGAAAAAGTCGAAAGCCGACCAAATATCCCAGGTAATACAGATAGGGACTCTCTTTTCTCATCTAGTGTTGACTCTTTTCATTCCACTATATCGTGGCAAACCCCATTGCCGCCTCCATCTCCTCCAGCATCAACTCCCTCTTCACCTACGATGGCTTATCCATATCCCCATAACGACATTATTCTATCAAAGCAGGATTATCATAATAGGGATACATCGGAGCGAACCGTTACGCCATCTTCATCTCGCGTATGGGATATTCGGAGTACGAGAAGCACGGGCTCTTTACGATCTTTGTATACGCAGGCAGCCTCCGTGGACAACGAGCTTCCCAGAATCACTAGAGTTCCAGAACAAGAGAGGACACTTCGACATCGAGCCATGACCATTACAAATCCCCAGCGCCGTGCACTCTCTCCGCTCCCAGCGGCGGTTAACCTTTTCTCTCCTCCACCACGTGCCAGACACCTCCAGACAGCTCGCCATCTCCCAACAGCAATAGTCCAGAAGACGTGCGAAATTCTCCTCAGTCCGCCAAGTCATCTATTTCAACTCATGATCAGAGTTGCTTCCAGAATTGCAGCTGGTGAATGGAGGGGGTTTTTATCTGGACCTGGAGAAGCATTCCACTGGGATATTTCAGAGGATGAATACGGGGAAGATGAATGGAGTGAGGACGACTTTGGAGTGAAAATATCAGCTCCTCTTGCATCTGAGTATGGGTCGGTGATCTACAGTTCTGGTGGCAGCTGGGAGGTTGACTAATATATTCGCGATTTTTCAGCGTAGCACACTTATTCTATATGCGATGAATTTATTTCATACAAAGCTCTCTCCCTGTTTGTTAGTTTTGATTGTAATTTCTCGTGATCAATTCGATATATATGCACTTTTTATGCCTCGCATTCTAATCGCATGTGTTTATATATACCATGACTTGAATCGCCTCAAAGAGTTACGTTGATTATTATTGTCCAACTAATTTGAAATTAATTTTATTACTTAATCATATAACAATATGCTACTTAATGCGAGGTACCTGGGCTGTACTCAAGAGGGAAAGCTGCTGCCGGGGGGTCCGTGGTTGTTCCTCCCGGTGCAAGTATCAAACTGGTTATGTTAACTAGAAGGTCGTCGCTTTACTTATTGCGGAGCAGGGAAGGCTTTCAAAGATACGTTACAGAATGAGAAGCCAAATGCACCACCGAAGAAAGGGTTTTTACCATCCATTTCTCAATCATAATTATTAGATATAATAATATATAACTCATATACGGCGCCTTCCGCAAAATATACAGATACGAAAAAAAAATTGTCCGGCCGATCAAAATTTAGGTACCTTGGACGCGATAAAATTTATCTGCACTGAGCGGTGAAACCTGCTTACTCGTAAAACCTATAAGGCATACACTAATCCTAAAAGTTTGTATATGTAGGTCACCACTGCATCTGGGAACTCCTTGAGCCCGATCTAATTTGGTAAATATTAGTCTAGGACCGGTCGGTACCTTTAAATATAGTAGACATAATAAGCATTCATAAGGTACCTGGGCAAAAAACCTGATATATATATGTTTTACCTAGGCAAACCTGAAGTCCTATATCTCTTGGAACATCGAAAATCTAAGATTACTTCAGACCTGAGCTAGGCTATACTTATTGTATACAGTTCAAGCCCTCGCATTTTGTATAAATGCGCTGCCCGTTCGATGCATCCACTGTGATATAGATAACTAAGCACTATACATCTCGGTGCAAATTTTGATTTAACTTTGAATCACTGGGGAGAGAGAGCCTGAGGAAACATAGGCTGAAATGCTAAATATGTGGGTAAACCTAGGCAGCGTATGAGTTAACAGCTTTAAAGACAGTAAGTGAAGTTCTATATAGCCTTTATGGCTTTATCTCACTCGCCATTAAAAAACCCTCAGGAAGAAAAGGATTACTCCATCGAATATTGTATCGAACGGGCGGTCAACACCAAGGGAGCATACTCCCAACCTTCTATGAAACTAGAGCGTAAGACCTCTAATTCTTTTCCTTGATCGGAAGTCCAAAGCCAGTTCATAGAGGAGTCGCGCGTATTGGGGCTCAACTCCCAAGATTGTCGCTCTCGGTGGTAAAGCAACAACCCCTTTATTCAATAAACTAAAACAAGTTCATGCGAGAAAGTGATCTCGGATGCACCGCTGAGAAACCATCAAAAACTGTGAATTGCCTTGATGATGGTGAGCGGGATTTAAGCTGGTTGGATTTAGAGCGCGAAAGGCCGGCTCAGGAAAGAAGACTTTACCCAGGGGCTCAAGTTGAGATGCCATCATCTTTCAACACGATATCAATAATGTCCACAGTGGTATCCAAGAGAATAAACTCTAGGATTCAAATGTGGGGCAGGCGGTTAGTGGGGTTTTTGGAGTCAGCGACTTTCACACCACCACCCTAGCCAGCTTGAACCCGATTCCTGAATGCAATCGCCACGTCGAGCAACAAATGGCTCTTTCCGGTACCCCAAACTCTTCGATCCCCTTCCAGTCTCGTCCAATTCCAGGTCCTAAATCATTTAATAAGGAGCGAGAGTTGAATGGAGATGATACGTATCCTGCAGCGAAGGTTTGGGACTCACTGTGACCAATCAAGCTCTCTTTCTCAGCACTGCTTATACACAAATAGTATCCTCATTACCTCCCAACCTGGGATTTGTCTCAAAATTACCCTCCCTTGGAGCCATTTGAGCACGTGGAACATGGTAAAGATGCTGACCCGACCTTCAAGGATCTCCTTGTTGAAGGGAGTGAGATAATTGATATGACACCAACTATTGGATCTGAAGTTACGGGAATACAGCTCAGCAAGTTAAATAATGCTGCAAAAGACCAGCTGGCATTGTTAATTGCAAAAAGAAAGCTTCTCGTGTTTCCTGAACAGGATTTCGCTGATCTTCCTATTCAAGGAGCTCTCGATTTTGCATCTTACTTTGGCCGTCCATATGTTCATCTGACTAGCGGAAGCCCCCAGGGATATCCAGAGATACACCTTGTCCATC